GCTCACGCCTAACGCGATCGATACGAAGCTCAAGTGAGGCCAGTTTGACATGCGTCAAAGTTTGCACCTCTTTTCTCTTACCAGATTTTAACTCCTCATTTCCTGAGTTGAAAAAATCAAAACATTTTAAATCCTCATGAGTTTATCATACCTCAAAAAAGAAAAAAAAATTATTTTTGCATATGTAGCAAATGTGTTTTGGTTTAAACGAGTGTTAATATATGAACATCGTTTTTGATCTGCGGGTTAATAAATAAAGATGAGAGTAACCTTCGCAGTAATGAACACTGCTTAACGCCCAGAAGTGATTCACATGTAACTTCTCCCTTTTAACATCCATGAGCCATCAATCAAAAGGTAATAAGAATACCCAGACATGTCAGGTAAAAGTTGTTTTTCTTGATCTAACACCAAATTCATGTAACTAAATTACAAGGAAATGTAAAAGCAGCTACCGGGGAGAATTAACAATCAGATCTTAGGAGTGAAAAAAAAAAGCCTGAAAAAATATCTCATAGGTCATGGGTTCAACTCTCTTATAAACCATAATATTTTTTCAGACTTAATTTTCAATGCCGCTTAAGTAGTTTGTGTTCAAACTTAACTGATTCGAATCAATAAAATGTATTAATGTAATGCCTAAATCCGAAAAAAGCGCACAATGTCCCTCAAAGATCGCTATTGCGTCGAAGAAATCTCTCCTTAATGTGCTAGAATTTGAAAAGTCACCTGAAAGACGCGTTTATAAAATGGTTCGACTTGGCCTGCAATGCATGCCGATGCTATGTCCTCCTTTGTGGTGTTCATAGCGACGATGATCACCCTCATTTTCGTGTAGGGTTTAACCAGGTAGAGTTACTACCGATAATTTAAACTTAACCCTTTAACTCCCATGAGTGACCACAACAGAATTTCTCCTTACAATATCAGTACAATATCAAGCAGAAAAGTGATGAGAATAAAGAAAAATATAAATTGGGGGATTATAAGTTGATCCAATATCAAATTCTCTAAACTAACATAACAAGAACTGTGTAGCAGACAGTAAGGAGAATTGCTGATGAGATCTTGGCAATTAAAGGGTTAACAAAGTGTTGAAAATATGTTGGATGGCATGTTATTGACATAAATTTCTAAAGAATTGGTTTCCTATATATGTATAAGTCCTGACCCATAGTCGTACCAAACCCCCCCTTCCCATCAACATTCCCATCAGCGTCCTTTAAAGATTAGACTCTGCGAGTCTAATCTAAGTCACTATTTAAAGTTCTTCATCAGTGCATGGCAAACCCCAGAAGCAATTCGAGAACCATCCATCAATTTACGGAACACACTGTTTCAATCATCAATGCAAATTCAACTGTTGTTTAGTGCGGGCTTTAACAAAATAGAATCTATAATTTCATGGACAATTACATGAGATCGCCTCGTACTTTATTGTTTTCCTCAAGAACAGCTCAAGGAATGTGTGACATATACGAATGATTGAGGGGAGTATTTCAAGTGACGTAACAAGAAGTTTTTTGGTGCACTGATCTGATATTTGATCCGCTATTTGATTTGCTATCATCTTCATCGGCTGCGTTGCTGATTAAAGGTTATTCACGCGGTCTCGTGGAAACTGCGGAATGTGTTGTCGTGATACATATCAGACGGATAGTTCACGTTGGTGAGATCAGTTCGTTTCTCTGTTTGAAAGAACGTTTTATAGGAAAGTTGGGAGAATAAGGAAGGCAAAGAATATCTACCTTAAAGAAGAATCAACTGAAACCTACGATTCAGACCAGCTCACTTGTTTATCACGGATCAGCTTCAAATGTAGGTATCTTAATATATTGTAACTCGGACATTCAGAGCGGTACGCTTGTCATCATAATGCCGGTTTTGTTCTGGTGTTTGCAAAGAAATCAGCTACGTTGCCCTTACTTGGGATGAGCTGTCTTTCGAAAATGTGTTTTGTTGAAAGATGAACACCGTCGAGTGCTAGTAGTTGTGACAGAGTGGTCAGTTACTTACTGCTGCAATATCAACCCACGGACCTTTACGTTTTACATGTACCGTCGACCTAGTCAAGTAATACCTTTAGCTTCTTTGTAGCCTTATGTCGGTTTTAATCTTTTAGTTTTATTCTTTAGTCGCGTTTTAACCAATCTATCGCTTCTAGTGCTCAGCGATGGCAGAACTAGTCTTTATTCGCACATATGACAGAGTGACGAGACTTACAAGGAGCCTTCGGTTCCGCATTCCCAATGGCTCCAAATTAAGAGACATAAACAAATACAGCTTTTACATGATAGAGAACGAACGATCGCTCCTTGTGGACTAGTGTTTATTTTGTAAATAATTCACTCTTCGTCAACCAACAATCAATCTCCTTGGGTTTTTCATGGTGTGGCATTTGTCAGACCGATTTGAAAATTGTATTCGTTGCGAATGGCAGCTTAGATTTGGTATTGTTTACAGTAGATTTAGCTTTGATTCCAACTGATTCTGCCACGTTATTAGTACTTTTAATTTGGTTTTGTGGGGATAACTTGTTTGAAATCATTCTCACTGAAAAACTAATTATGCAGAATTGAGACAGGGTTTGACGTTAAAAGCACCGAAGGGTATTCATGAAAGCATGAAGCGAGATATAATTCGTTGCGCAGTTATCGCTAGCTCGTATTGCACGTTACTATTTATCTTTTTAGTAGAAGTTGTCGTTTAGAAACTTTCCTCTAGAAAAAAGAATAAGAAAAATCTTGAACAAACTTGGTCTTGCTTTGTAAGTGATGAAGGCGTAGTGTCTTTTCTGATCTATATGGGGCATGTTAGCGTCTCGGATCCTTCAATTATTGAAAATCAACCTCATGAATTAAGCATTGTTTATACTACTGCTCGGATAATTTGGCAATGATATATCAGTGAAAACCCTTGCACAGTTGAACCTGGTCGAGTCTGGGTCATGTATATTTCTATACATTCTTTGAGCATCTTATCATTTAAAAGTTTTAAAATTGCTGCACAGGGTTTGTTTGTTAGTTTGTTCGTTTCTGTCAATAAAACTGTGACTTGATTTCAGCATTGGTGAACAGGCCGTGACGCTAAGAGACTCAAGTCTCTTCTTAATGAAAAATTTTCAGCTTCTGCTATAATCAAATTTAGAATAAAGGTATTTTCTGAAATTAAAAACAACAATTATTATGTAAACGGTCCCGTTTTGCATGCAGGTAATTGATTTGTATAGCTTAAAAAATATATTGGCTTCGGTGACCTACATCTATTGTGCAGTTTCCTCCGGGCAGAGAGATATTTCCGTCACAACTGGCTGGGGTATAAATAGTGCGTGGAAAAGTCTAGAAGGGTAAATTAAATTCATATAAAGCCTTAGCTAATCAACCCAAACAAAGGTAAGTTTCTTTTCTTGAATTTATGAAGGCTTTTGATTTTTAACCGAGCTTCAAGGGGTATGGTAAAATAAAATCTAGCAGTAGGTTATTTTCTCTTCATCCTAATGAACAGTTGAGACCCTCATCGAAAGTCTTTTCCAAAATATCCTTCAAATCCCTCTTTGATCAAATGATTTCTCAATAGGTAAGAGTATCGCCTTCTGCAAGAAGTTTGGCCATAATTCGTTTTGTTTGCCGCTTTTCATGTGTTTATTTACAAAAGGCTGTCTATTAATGGTAAAAGTTGAAAAGCATGTATTTCACGGCAGCCCTAAGTTCTTTATTGTTCCTTTGCAATTGCATATTTCTGTTTTCTTGGCTGTCCTTTCCCTTTCCGTTCTTTCACTTTCCCCGATGAATCAACGAATTGAAAAAACGCAATGTGAAGGTATTTTCTGGTGATCTGTTAAATAAATAATGCATGACAACCTTCCTTATTTCATAGACAATGACTACCGTCCAGTCTAACACAAATGTTACTTGTTTTAATGTGATCATCCTTCGTTTCAAACAGTTGTTTAATCATAATGAGAACCAAATTCTATAAAGATACAAACTACTGTTTATCGTACATTTCTAATGACACATTTCATGATTATTTCTCATTCAATTGTCTAGTTGAAAAGGAAACGAGAACCATGCCAACTGGTAGGGCAAGTGATACAACTCATGACAAACCACTGAGCGACGAGTGTAGAAAGATTCTGAACAGAGTAAAATATTGCCTTGTAAAAGATATGGATGCAGAAGAAGTTTTACTAAAAATGGCAGCTGAGAACGTCTTTACCACGACTGAAGAAGACAAAATAAAAGCGAAGCCAACACGATCGGAAAAAAATGGGCAATTGCTAGAAATTTTACCAACAAAGGGTACAAAAGCCTATGAAATCTTCAAGAAAGTACTCCAGGAAGTTCATCAGCACCTTGCAAACATAATTTTGGAACGTGGTAAGTGTTATGACGATCACGAAAATCAATTGGTATTAAAAGAAAGCTGCATCATTACATGTCATTGTAATTTTGGAACGATGCCGCACAATTCACCGAGATGGAGATGTCAAACTGGTTTCTAAAAGCGAGGGCCCTACACCTGTAAAGTCTTAATTATTTTTTAATGTAAGGAATTTACCCTGCGATTGCTTCATATTGCAGTGAACTCAGTGTGGTCATAAATTTATTACGCGAACCGTTTTTTGTAAACTTTTAACTTTTGTAAGGTTTGAACTTCAATGCGTTCTTTTCTTTCATCTCAGAAAACACGGAACTGAGAAGTAATGAAAACTCAGGGCAAGCTGACAGGGCAAGACAGGAAACTGACTCAAGTAAGTTCTTAGAGTTACTTTATTATTTATCTAAAGAGGAGGGGGCTGACTTTCTTAGCGAGCCAACTTTGCTGGATCGAATAATTCCCACAAACGATGCTGTTCTTAACAAGGTTGATAGGTGATATCGTGGTAAAGGGATGGCAACTGCTTAAAGATTCTGTTGTCTGTTCAAAAGATAGTGCAGGAGCTTGCTGGCGGCACCATGGAATGAAACTTCATAAAAGTATTTGAACCTTTATTCTTCGGCGTTTACATGAACTGACGAGTAACAGACATTGCAGATCGCTTATGTAATAAGCTTTGTCTTTATAATTCGCAGTTGAAAACGAACTTAGAAAGGAAGTCGTTACTTTTCAACGATGCTTATCAATACTGGAAGAAGCGGGAAACTGTTGGAAGGAACTTGGAGCAGAACTTCAAATATCAGAAAGCAAACTTCGCAATATAGAAACAGATCATCAACGCGCTAGAGATAAAGCATCTGCCGTACTTGAAAAATGGAGGGATATCAAAGGGCGTGACGCGACTGTAGGATGCCTTTTGGACGCCTTTGAAAGAAGTGGCCAAAAAAGGATTGCAGATAATTTGTTAGGTATGAAAATCTATTTTTATCGTCCTAGAAAGCGGCATGTTATGATAGACCTAGTAAATACAATATGTAAACAATACCCTTCATTTCGGTGCGGAAATTACCTGTTGCTGGCATAGCTAGTATGTCACCGAGGTTCGGTTGTAGTGTAATAGTGGTGCAAAAGTTTATTTGATTTTTTTCCTTCTCAGAGTTATGGCGAGCCGAACTGTAGGACAGTCCCTGGCCGTGAGAAAGTAAACAACCGAGTGAATTACTCAAAGAATTTGAGGAAAGCAATGCTACTTCAATTAAAAAAAAACTGCGGGAAGGCAAAGTCATATGATGGATATAATTATAGTTAGTTGAATGAATTGACAATACCCTAGATTTAATGGGCTTGAAAACATTTGCATAGGCTTCCACTAGCTTGAGAGGCAGGGAGCATTTTAAATATGTCAACCAATTAATTCTGCTTTAATGTGATATAGACAAGTTGGAGGGAAAAAATATCAGCTTTCTTTACTAAATATCGAAAAGTTAGACAACTAACAAATTTCTCTATTATGATGTACAGGTATACTTATGCGTTTTTTAGTGAGCTGAATCTAAAAAATTTACGCCGACATTCGCTTTTATTTTCAAACTCTTTCCTCAGTCGTGTAATGTGATCTTCCGGCCGAGGGTAGTCCTGAAAAGGTCTGTTAACGGTTAAAGTGACTGAAGTTTGGACAGTTCCCATTCGAAGCTGTGAGTACCTAAAATGACAATATTTTTTGTCAAAACTGCCTATTGGATTTCTAAGCTTCTTAATAGTGCCACTGAGTACGGAAAAAAGTTTGACGCAAGAGTAACGCTGGGAACATGCAGTATGAGATATATTATAATATCAGTTATAATTATCGTAAATCTGAATGTCTCTGGCTAAGTAAACGAACGTCATCGACACTGGAACTTTTGAATCTTGAGAGTTTCCATTCAATTTCGCTTGGAGAGAGTACGACAAACGAACAACTTTTCAAAGGCGGATTTATTGTAAATCTGAATGTTCGACCACTGTTAGTTATTATTAGGCTACATCGAAAGGTTACACAGTCAAGAAAAGATCAAAGCCATCAAACTTTGGACAAACCTACGTCACTACAGGTGTCTACATATATATCATTTGTCATAGAAGACGTTTCAGTCTGCCTTGTACTCTGTGTTCCAATACTGTAAAACAAGGTTCAAAATCGCGAGTGCCATGGCTACTTAAAAAGGCACAGTTTTTAAGACGTTTCTTTGCCTCCAAGATATTCCTACTTCTAAATTATGTCCAGCTGAGTTTAAAAGAGTATAATTAGAATGTTAGGCACATTTTGTTTAATAACGTGCTGATTGAAACGAAAACTATCGAAAAGACCACAAAGTAGTCGCCTGCTGGCGAAATTCTTGTCACAAAAAGTCCAAAATTGTCAATCGCCTCGGCGAACAGCTTGTGGCAATTTCAAACCTTATCTCATATACCACGTCCTTTCCAACCGAGCTTTCTGCTCCTATTTTATTTGCTATTGACAGCCGACGTTTATGAGAAATCTTGCCTAACCTTTCTGACTTTTTCAGTTATTTCTCTCAGCCCCTCTACATTTCCATTCCCCTCTATGCGCTCTAAAATCTTCTGTTCAATGACCCCTTTTATTGCAGCTACCTCCTGCAACAGGCTTTTCATAATTTCAAGTGGCTCGTCCTTCTTCGTGTTCTCAATTGGCTCGTCCCTTTTCGTGTTCTCAGTTGGCTCGTTCCTATTCGTGTTCTGCTGCCTCCTGGGAAGTTCATCTACATTGTTTATAAAAGTAATATATAAGAAATACAAGTAAACTTTCCTTACTCGATTTTAACTTACTGATAAACCTAGATTAGATTAAGCGTTTTAACACGATTTAATAAAAAACGTCCCTAGAGTGATCAAAAACAGAGAAAGATACAATAGGCTTGAAAACCCTTAACTCAACAGAATCCTTATTTTGTCTCTGACATACTCTAATGTGAGTTAACCAGCACAGTATACTCTTAAACCCAATCTACGAGCGGTTTCGACCATCAAATGATATAAAAAATTGCAACTCTTTAAATTGACCATATACGACCCATATGCCGAGATTTTAACTGAAAAAAAAAACTAGGCAGATCGGGTAGATGATGTGTCGGGCAAAAGCTCGAATATCACAGAACATCAATCGGCGATTTACAGTACAGCCTAACCCTAACCCTACGAAGAATCAGCATGTCACTAGTCTATGGAAGACTCGTAATGACTGCATGGTTTTAACCCTTTATACTCTATCATCATTATGCATTTTCTCTGTACTTTTCTCTATATTTCCTTAGGTGCTAACAAGGAGAAGTTGTTTAACAATCAGGAGCTTCTTTGGTTGGTGATCATTTCCTTTATTCTCATGACCTTAATGTGTAATTCAGGGGTGATATTGTACGGAGAAATTGGACGCTGGTCACTCTCAGGGTTAAAGGGTTAAGGACACTCAGAGCTGAAACTCACCTACTCTAGATTGGAGTCTCGTCACGACTTGATTCATCTCTCTAACTGTTCTGATAATTTCACTTAACTCATCCAATTGCTTTTGTTGACTTCCTGTTTCATCTCCACTTCCATTTTGTTTTATGTCTCGTGTTCTCGATGCAGCACTGGGTATCGTCTCAGGGGAACCTCCTCTCTCGCTGGCTTGGCTTTGCGCGGTCTCGCCCTCTTTGTCGCATAATACCCAGAAAAAAAGCCAAATATAACGCTAGTAATTACCACTTTATAGTAAAAATAATGCATCACTAAGCAAGATCACCAATCGTTAGCAAAAAAGCTGTGCGCTTGAAAATCAACATATTTCAGTATTATTACAAACTGGCATAGACTTATGCCTGATCCGGTTTGTAAATCCCAAAAAGAAAAACTGCAATAGGATTTCAGGATTTAAAACGATCACAATAAAAACCTCCACGAGCCTGATACTGAGCCTCTGAAAGGATGGTCACCAAAGACATTGTGCTGAACATGAGATGAAGTGTATCTCAAACAAATCAGAAAAGGTCATCCCAATACTTCCCTGTGTTCTAGAAAACTACAAGAGGATTTGAAAATTGGCTGTTTGGGGATGCCTTACAACTGGAAACTTTCGATGAGCTCAGCCAATATGATATAAAAAGCACGAGATACATAAGATAGTGCATACATCATTATTTATACACTCGCTAATTCTTCACAGACCACTAAGTTATTAAGGAGAATCTGTGTCAATATTGATCGTACCTTCCTCCGTACTTCTATACGTTTCATGATGTTTGCTTTCTCCTCGTTTTTCTTCTCGTACAATTTCTATTCCAGAAAAGAGGAAATTCAATGATCAGAAAAATTTAGATCGTATGAATGAATAATACAAATGCAGATTTCAGGTTGTAAAAGCAACTAAAAACACTGAGACCACGTTTAACTGTACCACAGAAAATTTCAAGAACTCATTGGGAGAATTCTGTGGACTTCAAGCGAAATGAACGATTTCTATAAAAAGTACAGATTTAAGTACCTAGCAATTTTTCTGCGATCCTTTTCATGCCTCTCGCAGTAAGGACAGACTCAAGACGTCCCACAGTTGCCTTGTGCCCTTCCTTATCCCTCCATGACTGGAGAAGAGCAAATCCCTTATCGCGAGCTTTATGGTAATCATTGCCTATGTTGCGAATTTCGCTCTCAGGAACTTCAAGAAATGGTCCAAGGTCTGACCAGCAGTTTCCTATGTCTTCTTTAAAAAGGGTTGCTAACCTTTGAGTAACAACTGACTTTCTCAACTCTCCGATTTGGGCTGATAATAATAATAATAATAATAACAATAATAATAATAATAAAGAAAACAGAACCAGGTTATAACTACAAAAGGAAAAACATTTTTAACAAACACCGGAGAAAGATTCAAGTACAATTATAATCAACTTTGACATCAGGACTTCAAAGAGAAGAGCAATGGTTTGCTATTTTTAAAGTAAATTAATGTCTTATACCCTGCAACAACCGTGCCTCGTTTGCTCGAGAACTTTGCAATGCAGAATGCAAAGTGAGCAATCAAACCATCTTGGGAGAAAATCATAAGCAGGATGATAATGAATAAACTTATTCAGTAGTTGACAGACTACTGCGATGATTTAAACTAATTAGAATCCTTTTGAGGTGTGGGCTGGAAAAAAAGGAAAATTTAATGAGAAATAAAAATTAAATTAAAAATAGGGGCATAGATAGCCAGACTGCACCGGATGAAGTCGCTCGTTATTTAAAGGTCTCTTGGCGATGAGGGCTTTCTCTTACTCTTAATTATACATGAGGAAAACGAGATTTCTAACGGGCATTTTAAACCAAACAATAGTACTTACTCTCGCCAAGTTGTCAAAGAATAAAGAGAAGGAGCAGCCAACACAGCCACCTTACCTTGTCAAGTGTCATGCTATCCGAAAAAGTCTACCCAGATTTACCACATGAAAATTCTATAAAGGTATCACAAGCTTTCTTCTAACATTCTTCCTTTCACGTTCCTTACTACTATATTAACATTCATACAGCTCTCACCCGAGTCATCCGCAGGCGACTCCACAGAAGTTGAAGCTTCACCAAGCAGAGGTTTATCCTCTAACTGAGGCATCTCCCTGGAAATTACTGGAGTGTGGTCCTGTTACGAGGAAAAGAAATCCATACATCATAAAAGCATAGTATTTTAGAAATGAATGTAATAAAAATAAGGCAACATGGTTGACTTATTGCAAAACTCTATCAACAGTTCGAAAAAAAGTCCTGAAAATAGCACATAATGTTAAAGCTACAAGAGCACTTTCATCGTGGTAAATGACCCCTTTACACGGAAAACTGACTGTAAAAGATGTGGCCGACATTTCCTTAGGTAAATTTGCATGGATACGTCAACAATTTGGGATCAAACGAAGCGCCCATCCAACGCCTTTATGAGGGTTACATTTGTCATCTCCAAGATTCTAATATCTGAGCTTAAAAATCTTTCTTGACCTCCGGGCGAATTTTGTTTGCCCATTTAGTGAAAATTTTCATTTGATAGAAAATATGCCTTACTGATAAAAGGTGCTCTACTTTTTTAGGACGAAGGGGGTAAGTTTCTAAAGACACTGTGGTGATGCGTCGGTGGGAGAGTATAACAGGGTAATTAAGTATTATCAACTGAGTTAATAACGTAAATTGGCCACCGTAAAGAGTTTCAAAGCAGACGTTTCGAGCATTAACCATTCGTCACAGCGATTAACGAGGGGCTAACGCTCGAAACGTTAGCTTTTAAACTCTTCAGGGTGGCCAATTTACGTTATCAACTCAGTTGATAAAACTTAATTACCATTTTATAGGATAGTACTTTTCTCGCATGGCCATCGTCGAAAACATTCGTAAGAACCCTTAAAGCTCTTTTTAAGTTTTTCATTTCTTGTGTTTCAGTGTCCAAGGTGCTGTATTCGATTTCTCTTTCACTTTCTTTCTTGACATATTGTGAAAATCCTTCTAATTATTATTCCCCCATTGCTTTGGGTCGAAAGCCGCTAGGATCTACAAAACGTTCAAAACTACTCATGGTACTCTCAAGATTTCTCTTACCAAATCACTTAGAAAAGAATCAATGCCGCGAAGCATTTTCGACTTTAGATGGAGAGAAGAAATTATGAAAAATATATGTAACTGAAAAGAAAGATACTGTTTAATTAAGGGTATCGGTGTGATAATGGGCATAGCATCTTGTCCCAGAAATCATTTGTTCTTCCGTAAGGTCCTTGTCATACCTTAAACGGCTCCACTGGATGAAGCTGCAAAGAGCAAAGTCTCTCTCGTCCTTCCTTGTCTTTTTTGTTTTTGAATAATTCTATAGTCGGTGCATCGAAACGAACCGAAAAACAAGATTTAAAATCGAAGTCTCCTGTAAACCTGTGAGAGAAAAGAGCACTATTGAACTTACGACACACATTTTTCAAATGGCACTAATAATGTTACATATTCAAGAAGGCATGCAACACCATTTTTTGACGAACTGCAGAGGTTTCCCGATGAAGACGTTTTCAATTAGAAGCCAAAGAAGATGCGAATATTTTCTTTATAGTTAGCAAATATAGACCATAATGCTTTACGCTGAAACGGAATATTTAGCGTTTTAAATCGACCATATTTGGTTTCCCAAACTATCCCGTATAGCGTGTTAATTCAACGGTTCCTTGCGAAACCAAACACCACGTAACACAACGCATGACGCTTTCATGAAAAAATATAGAAGTGTCCGAGAATTAATCTTTCGTGTTTTTCGAGATGTGAGTTTGGGACGCCTCTGCTCAAACTCCGTAATTGCAAGCGCAACAACAGCCTCAAGAAACCTCACCCCAGCACCCCGGGGTTGTAAGATTGCATGTAAACGCGTTTTATTTTTCGACCACGGCTAAGCGGGTTACCCCACCTACCTGGGGTTCCCCACCTCCATGTAAACAGGCCCTTGGAAAAAAAATTAATAATTCTTCAGAAAAGCATTCCACTGTGAATTCAGTGGTAATAATCAACACATTCTCAATGTGATCTGAATCGAAGTTGGATCAGTGATCAAAAAGCATTTAAATTCAAAAATTGATCTCTTTCTGAGACTTACACAACGGGGGTGTAATTTATATCAATTCCTTCATCAACTGGAGTGAGTCCATTTGACAGAGAAAAGAGTGCCTGGTCCCCTTTGGCGAGTTGTCTTGCTGACTTGGCTTCGCCATAGAGGAGAACACCATGCTCTGAAGATATCTCTTTTGTCAACTCGGTTTTCATGTGGAGTGGAAAACAGTGAAGAGTCAGTAATCCTCGCTTTGGATCTTGTCTTGGTTCCTTTTCATTCTCAGGACACCAGAAAGCGAAAAATCCTACATGTTGCGGACAGGAAGAATCCACGATAAAAATTTCTTCAGGTTTCAGATGTTTTGTAGAGGAATTAAGCATCACACCGCATCTAGCAATAATATAAAGGCACGAGGAATTTGATACTAGAAGACATTTTGAAAACTTAGGAGATGATATGGAGGTAGCTGACTCAATTTTTTGTGTATCTGAATATGAAAAAGTTGCAAGTTAGAAAAATGCATGTGCATGCCATGGCAACGTATTTTCATTTCATTTTTTGATACTCCTGCAATATATGTAGTTCTCAGTTCGCAGATAACTCATATATGAAGGAAAAAAAACAAGATTGCAAACTTACTCCAAAAAGCGATTGATTTGAAATGTATCAGCCCCATCGACCTCGAATGTCACAGTCCCTTCTTCCAGTTTTGGTGGCACTTTCAACCTCTTTGTCCAATCGACCCATTTCCGTGACGTGTCTTTACCGCCACGGAAAAACACTCTCACGTGCCTTGATGACATTTCCGATAACTTAATCTGGTGTTCTTGCAAGTCGATGGGTACACTTATTAAGATGGGACAGGTCAAACTAACTTGCGAAGGATCCCTTGACTCAACTTTCGGTGTGAAAGCAATGTGAACGACAGGACCAACAAGAACCCTCTTTCCTTCGAAACCATCACTTGAAAGCTCTTGCACCTACGGGAAATCAAAATAGATTCAATGCACAAATCTCAAAAAGTAGTATATTGCGGAAAAATCAAATAGTTGAACTATTGCAATATCTCATATCGGAAATCCCCTGGATCTGACACCGCCCTCGTCAACTACACGGAGCAGTGGAAATAAGAGTTAGAGAATCACAATACTATCGGCCTTATATCGATGGACCTCCCAAAGGCGTTTGACACTCTGCCAAATGACTAAATGGTGGAAACGTTCAGGTCTTACGGCGCTGACGATAACAACTCCGAGCTCATCAAGGGTTACCTCACAAATTGAAGTCAACGAGCTAGATTAAGAGATCAGTTCTCAAAGTGGAAAGGAATTTCATTACGATCTCCACAAGGAAGCATCCTGGGTCCTTTGATATACAACATATTCATGAACGATCTCGTCCATGTCATCAAACACAGCAGTTTGTCTGCCTATGCAGACAACACCCGGATAATATATGCCGACAAAGCGTCCGCGAAAATTGAAGAAACCATCAACAATGACCCCGCTCGTCTAGACATATGGCTCGAGGAAAATGGTAAGAGAAGAAGCCCAGCATAGTACCAAGAAATCGGCATGGGAAAGGCGTAAATTACGCCTCAGTTTCATTGTGAAAACACAGAAATCCCCATAACCGAAGATTTTGAGATGCCTGGAGTAACGATAGACGACAAACTAAATTTGAAAAGCATGTAGGCAAGGTTTGCAGCGAAGTCTCTGAGCAAATTGTTGTGCTCAAGCGTATGAAAAAGATGCTCCATTTTGAAACAAGAAAGAACATCTATTTTGCATCCGTCCTTCCCAATTTCAACTATTGCTTTGGAATCTGGCGCTTCTGCAGTAAAAGTGCTAGAGCAAAACTGGAAAAAAAATTAAACGAACTTGCACTGCGATTTTTTTTAAATGAAAAACAAACGCACTACCAGGAACTACTCAATAAGATAGGCTTACTGTCATTGAATAATCTAAGACTCGCAGAAATTGTTTGTATGGTTTTTAGAGCTGTTAGTTATGATCATACTCCTAAAAGCACAAAAAACTTACTTGATTTTAGAAACACTAAATACGATCTGAGGGAACCGACATTCGAAAAACTGCCTAAGGTCAACACCACAACCTACGGTCTGAAATCGTGGCGTTACCGAACACCACAGCTGTGGAATCTGCCACTAGAGTCACATAGAACTGTTACAACTATTAAGATCTTCAAGGACAGTATAAAGAACATTGAGCTTTCGGGCCTTTTGCCTAACATTTTAGTATATATGACTATCGTTTTTACCTCTTTACATAAAGTGGAATTGCTATAGATTGTATTTATTATCCTGACTCAAACTTTTTTAAAATGTTAAAATTTTTATTCATCTGTCATATTATTTGTTTTTTTAATTTAATTTTAATTTATGTGGAAGACCTGTAAATTAGCTGGTCTGTCATTTCATCATGTCAAGTCACACCTGAATTATGACTGAAAAAGCAGACGAAATAATTGATCTACTTTCAGGATTCTTTTGTCTGAAGAGATGTAAGTTCAAGATGATTCCAAAATGCACAGCTCATCTAATTAAGATTTTACATTTTACATCTTCTTTTTTTTTTTTTGGGGGGAGGGGGAGAGAAATAAGCAAATACACACTGCGAGGGTACCCTTGCAGGGAGCCTTAAGTATCATTATTCTTGTCCTCATAGTGATTGCTACTGCGGGGGTTTCAATAAAAGCCAATTACAGGCGGTCTACTGCCACCTGTAGGACCTCTTACTACCGTTACTACCTGTTTCAACATTACTGCCGGATCTTCTTACATTCGACTGATCGAACATAACGCTAGCAATTACAGCTTTTTAAAGCTTAAAAGCTATATCCTGCATGTTTCCTTTGTAACAAAGATTAAAAAACAAACATTGTTGGTTAAAAAACCTTGCTTCGTCGTTTCAACCGGCCATTTTCCCCTTTCACTTTTACATTTAGCTTTTTCGGAGTCATGTTTCCGAGACGTTTTTTCTTCTTTATAATAAAATTTAAGGAAAATTATTCAGACTTATTTAAAA